TCACCCGTTTGGCTGCCAGCACGGCTTCCGGGGTTGCTCTTGGCTGAGCGAGACCCACGGCGCGAGAACGATGTCCCCTTTGTGCTTCCTTCTTCCATTGGTGCCAGCCTAGGTGATGAGGATGGAATAGAGCGCGGCTTAAGACCAGCCGGGTTGCTGGTTTCTGAGAATGCAATGCTGGGTCGCCTTGCGATACTGGCTAATGTTTGCGCATTACTCTCACATGGTCCCGTGACCTCAACACTCGGTCGGTCAGAAGAAAAGTCTTCGACACTGAAATCTGTTTGGTCGGCTAGTGTACTGCCATCTGAAGCTCGAGATGACGGTGCATTCGGAATGTTGGGCGCAGATGGATCTTCGCCGATGGGAAGAATTTGGTAGAACAGAAGATAGGGAGATTCGGTCTTCAATGCGTCGTCAATGTCAACCAGTGTCACTCGTTCTGCTGCGAGATCGTCGAAGCGCATCCAGTGTTTTGTTGTTTCCGGGACTTCTGGGCCGGTAGTGACAGTAGTGGCAGTATTGGGGCAATTGGTACCTCGAACAATGGAAATGTAATGCCCTGAGTCAACCGAGTTACCCCTATGACAAACCAGAGCTTGCAAAGAAAGTTTAAAGCTTCCAAAGAGAGGAGCATCTGCATCCAAGTTGTCATCTTGGATGAAGTGAGGCAGGCCGATCTCGGTTGGTATATCAATGTGTGTATTCAGTCTGACTGCCCTCCCATCTGGCAAGAAGGAATAACGTTTCAGACACATCCCAAGAATCGGCCGTTTTGAGGAAAAATGGGCTGCAACTTGCGCATCGTTTGTTGGTGTATTATCGGTATACCACGCTAAGCAAGCTTATGTCAGTTCACACGAAACTCAAAGAACAGGATGAGGGGAGTGGCATACGTATTAAACTGAAAAATTGCCACGCAGGCATCATGACTTCTTTCTTGTATGAACCCTTTCGTTGTTGCGTATTTCCACTGGTATCCTGATCTGCGCTGGTATCTTTCTCCGGATTGGTATCTCTGGTATTGGTATCGTCACTCGAATCGGGAAAGAACCGCTGTCGAACAATACTACCACGTCGACCAGGTGTCCGAGATGCTTCGAGGGATTCAGTGAACTCGGTGAACGATGACCAGGGGTTTGGTTTTTCAACCCGGGGTGTATTTGTTTGTGTGCGGGACATGGTGGGCGTGGTCTCGATCTCCACTGTTTCGACATGTGAGGTGGACCCCTTGGACATAGAAAGTGAATCCATTGATCTGATTGAGCTAGTGGTGTTACGTCGTTGCATATGTCGTTTAACTTCAATCATGTTATTGAAGTAAGCTTCCAGGCAATCTTCCAGTGTGAGTGAGTGTCCATCAGTTGGCTCGGGTGGTATGGCAACCTCGAGCAGCCTCTCATTGATAAACTTATGGTCATCACTTTCATCTTCCTTTCCAGTATGATAAATGTCCATCTTCAAAGTCAGAAGTGGCAACTCCAACTTTTCAGTAATGAAAGTGAATGCTTCCGAAGCATCCTGTTGCTGAAGTTTAGCCGCATCTTCCCAACCACATTCTGCTAGGGCATCCTGCAGGTGTTTTGTCTGAAGCCAACGGGTCAATAACAATACGAAAGATGACAACCCCAAGTGTTATAACTAACCATGTCTGTGGTGATGAGTTTCCCCGATCGCAGCAGATTCACCCATAGTCTCAGAAGGATTGCAAGCTTTCGACGAGACTCATCATTAAATGATTTGTAAAGAATAGCCTCAAAACAATCGAGGCGCGCGAACATGGCAAATAACAACGCGTCCAAATAGCATGTGACTCCTTGGCGATTCTCTGCACCTAGGAGCTTGGTGTTGGGTGTGTAATTCCTGATGATTCCCTCGATCGAGTCTTGTAGCAGAAGTAGCAGGCTAAATGCCTTCTCTGTGTCGCCTTGCGTGGTTCGCAATGCATAATTCATGTGCTCTTCATCTAACGCGGTGATTCCAAGTTGTTTAATCCGTTGAGCAAGGGCTTTGACCTATATGTGAATTTGGAATATTAGAGGTGCAAGCTGACCGTAATGCGCTTAGACCATACCTTCTTCGCATACTCGTCATTATCTACCAGAGCCGACTCTGACTTGAAGATTCCATGGAATAAAGGACGCGAAAGTATGTTAGATACCTAAAAAGTAACAAAACCCGTTAGCCAATGTAAGATCTTGTTTGAAGCATCATCAAAGGTGTTCTGTACACACATACCTCTTCTTTGCTTTGCTTGTTCAACTTATTGTGCCGATCGCGACGCGTCAGAAACCGATGGATGCCACTCATTATTGCGGATGGAGGAAAAAAGAAAACACTCTCAAGAGCAGGCTTTCTAGATTTAAACGGAAAATCCCAACATTGGAGACGTGCGGGGGGTCAGGAGACCTGTAAACTAGCTCGGAGCTTAGACAAGGCTGCAGGATTTCTGAGAAGTGCATGTAGAATACATCATCAGCAGAGCTCCTCTGATATGAACACGCGTCGAAAAGAAGCAACTGAGACAAGTGATATGAAGTCGAACCTCCCGCTGATCTGCGGGGCAGAGCGGGAGCAGACACCTAAGGCAGGAGCTTGACCGGTCCATCTTGCCCTTATCTTGGCGGTGAGCCTTCGAGGGTTGAGGGCGGTGACAAGCATATGAATATAACTATATACAGTAAAGATTCATTGTAAGAAATGACAAGATATGAGTAAATCTTACTTCATCCTCTAAATAAACTCAGGATTATCTTGATTGGTAACACGCTTGTCTAGTCGATATCAGATCCAGACTAATCCTCATTTGTATCTAGATTTTTCTGGAATCGGGCCACTACAATTAGTTAAGTGGCTAGATCGTATCTGTCTCCATAAAAATCATGTTTTGGCTTCTAAAATAGAGTCTAAGGTTTCTTTATCCACGAAGACCGGATATCCACGTTGAAAGGTAGTAGGGCTATGATCTTCCTTTATTGAATAGCCGCCCAGCGAGGATTCTCGTAAATGGTGTATTCTAGTTAAGCAAAGAGTGCTTGCTAACCACCTAAAGCCCAATTTTGAAGATTAAGCAAGGCTTTTTGGCCAAGTAACTTCACACACCTGTACCCAAGGAATATATCCTCTCTTTTGTAGTAGCAAGTGCTGCAATTGGCTTTGGGACCAAGCCCCATGTTTGACACCAGTCGAGTATTCACGGATATAGATAGCCTCTCTCATGGAACAAAGTGGACAGGTATACCACTATGGAATGAGTGGATGGTCTATGAACTAAGAAACAACAAAAACACATAGGCAATAATTGACCAAGTAGTTATCCATGGATGCATGAGTTAGTTAACTAGTTAAGTTATGTTGTAGTTCTAAGGTGAATGTAGTGCCTGTTTTGTAAGGCGTCGGTATTTACCCACGTGACTGGAGTATCTGCGCGAACAATTTTTGGGAACGGTCCGGGATGATCACCAACCCATCACACCCCATTTTCACAGAATGGCTGCCAGAGAGCCATCCAGGTACCTAACAAGGGCATTGCCCCGGGCCTCAGTGCCATCAATTCGCCCTCAAGGCTTTTTATCGCGCCGCAATGTCTCCGATGAAGCCCCAGCGAGGCGTCTGTCGGACCACTTGACCGAGCTGGAATCTGCGTCGTCTCTGTCAACGGCCGTCCCAAACAGCGCAGCAGCATCATTCGACCCGCTTGCACGAGCAGCCGCTCGCAAGAACCAGCTTCCCCGAGGCCGGTAAGAGCACTCCGCCTACATCTCCAGTCTTGCGCATCCGCAGACATAAAAACAACATCGAAACACATTCAATGAACAATCACTAACCCCGACCCCTTCATTACAGATACCAATTCCGCTCCCCAAAATACAACCGTGGTCCCCTCCACCCTCACCAACCGCCGCCACCATCCCACCCCTCCTCCCGGCTGTTCGTCCCAGGCCCCTTCTCCGCGCCCCGAGCAGAGCAAACCTTCGACTCAACCGTCTCCCCCGACATCATGACCCTGTGCTACGTGCACACACCACCAGGCTTCAAGCCTCCCCCGAAGGCTGCCCGTCTCCGCGAGTGGGACGACAGCTCGCCCTACCACAAGAACCGTGTCCTCCGCGGACCCCGTGGCGGCGACGTCCTGCGTCTTCTCCGCAAGCCGATCAAGTTCAACAACATCCCGGAAATCGAGCGCATCACAATCCACAGTTATGTGAAGAACGCCGCAGCCGAGAGGAACTCTTCTTGGTTGCACGTCGCTGGTATTGCCGTTCAGGCTATCTCCAATGTTCGCGTTGAGACTTTCAAGTCCAAGTCTAACGTTGCTCCTTGGGGTATTGCATCGGGCCGTGACTCTGTCGCTGTTAAGGCTGAGCTGTTCGGCGAGAATATGTACCACTTCCTTGGCAAGCTGGTTGATGTCGTCCTGCCCCGTATCAAGGATTGGGAGGGTGTCAAGGGTTCCAGTGGTGATAGCAGTGGCAACATTACTTTCGGTCTGATTCCGGAGAATGTTGCTCTGTTCCCCGAACTTGAGATCAACTACGATATGTAGGTGTGCCCCGCGTTTATATTGTTGTGTCAAAAGGCTAACCCTGCTTCAATAGGTATCCCCCCAAGATGATCCCCGGTTGCCACATCACTCTCCACACTACCGCCAAAACTGACAAGGATGCACGACTCCTCCTGAGTGCCATGGGTATTCCTTTCTACGGCAAGATTGTGAACTAAATCGGGTTTACCTGGTGATTACTTGGTCTTTTATTATATTTCCTTTTGGATAGTCTTGTGATATCCAGCATGTAACTTTAGAGAAGACCTGCATAATGGTCGTTGTGATTATTCGAAATCGTGTACTATCTTTGGCTTAACTTCAATCTACATTTGCAGCGAACAACAGTACACAGGATGGCTAGAAAGCGACAACAGGAACCTTTGCTCAGTTGTAGTATTCTAGCAAAAAAGAACCCATGGCCAAAAATGGTTCAATGGACGGGAATTTCCCCATTATACGTAAAATCATACATACATGTATCGAGGAGACACAAGAAAGAAGAAAGGGAAAGAAAAATATAATTACCGCTAGTTATACGATAGGTGCAGCCAGGAACTCGCACTGGAGCAGTTCATCAGCACTAGGCCGCTGCTCGTATTCCAAGTGGAAAGTCATGTCGAGGAAATCCACAGCCTCCTGGCTCACATGGTCTGGCGCAGGGGGGCGAGCCTTGTTGCTGCCAATAGCGAAAATGGCTTGCAGTTGGCTGCAGTCCGGGAAGGGGTGGGCACCAATAAACATCTCGACGACGAGACAGCCCAAACTCCAAATATCGGCTTTCTTGGTGTGCGCGGTCTGTCGCACGACTTCGGGTGCCATCCAGTACACACTTCCTTGGAGGGATGTGCGGTGGATATGAGCGCCAGCGCCGCCGCCACTGGCGCGGGCGCCGAGGAGGTGAGATGCTTCGACACGCTTAGAGATACCAAAATCAGAGATCTTAACACCACCCTTGTTGTCAACTAGAATGTTGGCACCCTTGATATCACGGTGGATAATATCCCGGCCGTGGAGGTATGATAGACCCGCCAAAATTTGTCGAACGAAGTTCTTGACAAGCGGTTCTTGGAAGGTGTTGTATTGCTTCAGCATTGTAGCAATAGATCCACCAGGCACATACTCCAGGAAAATGTTGAGATATTGGTCATCGGCGACGGTGCCAAGATATTGCACAATGTTCGGGTGGGACATGCCTTGCAGCAGTTCGATCTCGTGCTTAAGAGCATTGACCATGAGGTTCTTCCGCTGGTCGAACTCTGTTCCCTTGGTAGCAGATGGGATTTCAACTTGCTTGACAGCCATAAGCTCTCCAGTAATAGCATGAAGAGCCAGGTAAACGCTTCCGAAAGAACCCTCTCCGATCAGTGATCCCTTCATCCAGTTCTTTGGTGCAAAGTTATTCCCAGCCAGGAAGTCTACAAGGCCGTCATCCTCTTCTTCGCCATCCTCGGCTACAATCATGCTCATCCGATCGTTAAAGGAACCACCATCTGTGGCCGCGACACTAAGACTCTCAAAGCTCTGTCGCGACTCGCGCAATAGGTTTGGTTCGTCAGAACCACTCTCAAAGGAGACATATGACTTTCGGTTAGGCTCAGTGGGTGACTCTTCCTGAAGTGGCTGAAGGGAACTAGATGCAATAGAATCCCGATACGAGGCTTGAGGTAGGTTGAACTTGGAAACTGAGATGGGTCGGGGGGCTCGTACTGCCTGCGCCACCCCAGGGCCATGGAGCCATGCATCGGCAATGCTGGGAATTGGAGGTAAATGGGGCAATGGCGGTAGAGGAGGGGCATCTTTCATACTTGATGCAACGCTGTAGTTACTCACGACACTCATACGACTTGCGGCACGACTCAAACGCTGAGATCTGCGCATGGTCTTCTCGATGTTTTCCCGGTCATGACTGGGGAAGAATGATTGTAGTTCATGAATAATCATCTCACTTGGAGGTCTCTGTCCGAAGAACGAACGGAGTTTAGCCACAGGATTGCGTTCACTGTTCGGTCCTTGCGATTCGTCAACACTAGAGTTGGATGGGCGATGTCTAGGGCCAAGCGGAGAAAGCGGCTGTTTAATATTATGCCAAGATTCGCCGGTAAGTTGCTGGATCTTGTGTTTCTGGCGTTGGTTGGAATTACTCAGAGCGTGCTGGTGGGTGGCCTGGCTTTCATCATATGCAAGCTGAGATGCACGACGAAGCTCGTCTTCATCGGGCTCCCCAGCATGAATCTTCCGTAGGATCAAGCGACCTCGCTCGGACTTGTTGAAGCCATCGCAGATCTCCATGAGCTCCGATTCGGTGAGCTTCCGGCAATTTGATTGTTCTGGGTCCAATCCGTCCAAAACATAAAAGCAATAGTTTCTGTATTGGTGTTCAGGAAGCTGCAGTTTCTTCAAGACACACAAAATAACTTCATCCGTTGTTCTGCAGTTCCGGATATCCAACACCTTGGTTTGTCCACCGGTGTGGATAACACGGATGACTGGGGAGTTTGACGGGAGAGGCCCCATCGTGAGACCATCAAGACTAGGATTTCGAGGATGGGAGCTCGGTCGACCTTCGTTCGGAGTACCAGGATTTCGGCCAGAACTTGAGCCACCTGAAGATGGATGATTAAGGTAGTCCTTGCGCCATGGACCTCTTTCGGAATCACCGGCTGGTGGCGACGTAGGCTGAGACAGAGATTTGCTGTTCAGATAACCACCATCATCAGCCAGCTGAGATGTGCGTCGGTATGGTAGGCGGGAATGAGTATGGCGGGAGGAATTTGAAAGTGCTGTGGCTTCGAGCGCAGCTAAGGTATTCTGTGTCGAAAATTAGCATAAAGTAGAAGATACGAGCAATATAATGTCACATAACCCACCATGTTTTTCTGTCGTGACGTTGTTCCGGATTTGTTTCTGAGTTGCTTGATAGCGATGAAGATACGCACTCGGTCGCCAACTTTCTTGATGCCCATCTCTTGCAGGATCTTTTGGTCGCATTCAAGTAAATTGTCCCCATTGAAATTGTTGGCTATAAATCATTAATGATATCCTATGTGCAAAGTCGGGACGGCTGTGCGCATGCGTACCTTTGAATATCGACTCATATTGCCCACATTTGATGCTGTGAAGCCAGGCGACCACTCGTCTCTCATCCCAGGCGCTGTCGATGGTCAGAATCACTGCGGAATCTCGGATCATTTTTGAAAAAGCCTTACCGGACCGATGTAAGCTCATCCTGCCCCTCCGAGAGCTCCGACTTCGTTGGGCTGGCAAACCCCATCCCATCCTGCGCTCTTGTGGCCGTTGCGGGTCTTTGGGACGAATTGGGGTGGTATGCGCTCGGTTGTTGGGACGCAGATACATTTGTAGGTGCAGAATACTGCTTAGGAGCCAACATGGCTAAATCAGGTCAAGCGAATGACTCGTCGGGTTCACGTGCTGGTCGCTTGCGATTGATCGGCGCGGCGTTCTTTCCTCCACACTCTCGGGGGTCCTTCGTGTCAAGTTGAACGGGGGATCCGAAGAAATATGCGGCGTCAGTCAACACATAACCTCGGTTCCCTGATATTCAGTCAGCCGCATGTTCCAGGTGGGTTTGAGTCTCACTCAGCCCCGGCGGGGAAGTTACTGAGGGGTCGGGAGAGGGAACGAGACAGTAGAGACGACCACAATGAATATTAGAAGACACCGACCAGGATAAAACAAAGGGTGATTCCAGCAGAGTGGGTAAAGATCAAAATGAGTGACCTCAACGACGCAACTTACCGCCTGAGCTTTTTTTTGGGGAGGGTGAGATCGGGGCCACTTAGTGTGATTTGGATCGGGATATCGAGATCACGACTCCCCACTTGGGAATGAGAAGGAGATTGACAACGAAAAATCGGAACCAGGCCAAAGGTTCAAGAAATGAGGTTTGATTGAGATATGAAACCTCCAGGGTAGGAACCTTGTAACATCGGGAGTTCTCTGACTAAGGTGGTACATGCAGCCCTAGAGGTCTAGGCGTATCAAGGGGTTCCTAAGCCCGATATTTCCTCCACGCGTTTTATCTCTGAGCTGTCTGTACCTTTCGATTATCGTACTTGTTCTCATCTGAAACCACCCCACTTTGGTTCGAAATATTCAATTGGTGAGTTATTGTGGCTCAGGGCTATTTAAAGGTGAGGCTTTCCTATAATAGCTACTCTTATGAGTTCACTTGCCCTTGTAGCCTTGAAGGTAGCACTTTGAATAATGATTAGTCAGTGCATTTAACCATCTGAGTTAGTCTATCTCACTGTCACTTTCTCTACTTTTACAGACTACGTACGGTGCATAACGCTGTACCCAGAGAACTTTGATAAGGTTATGAGCTGTAGATTATAGCTTGCCACCCCCTTGCCTGACTATATAGATCGACAGTGTCTCGAGGTTGTTTTTGCCGATGTCCCCATATGTTGTGGGTATCCACCTACGGAGTACAATATAGTTATCTAGCACGCTTTTAGGGTTTGCGTCTAAGAGGCTATTTGAGAAAATATACAAAACAACCTTTGGAATGAATTAAATGATAGTAATAAACCAAAAAAAAAATATGCTTATAAATGTTGATCAACAACTTTTACGTCTTTCATGGTCTGAAGATGAAGAGCTGCAAATTCCTTACTCTGATACAAGAGCGGTGGTGTGCTATCCTCTGATGGGTCTCATCGGCTTGTCTGGGTTTAGGACAAACCTAGCATCCTACAGTGGACCAGCTGCACAAACCAGCCGCAGTTTGTCATATCTCCTTATTTCCAGTGGTATTAACACAGAAAAGCTGGAGCCGGCTCCATCTTTTCGGCTGCTATGGTTCTTCTCGGCTCAGGGAAGGTTTTAGAGATCACCTTAACTTTCAGTCTAGCTATTTGTTAGATCAATGCTATATTAAATTCACTTTTCAATATTATTTAAGCCCGGCTACGGCGATAAACCACTAGTAAACCGGAAAGGTGATACCAGCCCCCACCAGTGAAACAGTGGCTCTGTGAGGTGAAACTGCCCAACTAAATTATAGAATTTACTCCATAGTTGATATGCATTTGATCATGATCATTAGGGAGAATCTGCTCAATTAAAAGGCTCAATTAAAAAGCCATATTGTCTCAATGGAGTAGAAAGCAGGACAATATACGGAAGTATATATATCTACTCTCTCTCTCTCTGCTTCATACTGGCTGCCGTAAAACATCAAGAACTCCCATCTTCTTCTGGTTTTTATTTATATACTATTTTATACTCAATAGACATTGGCCTTATGAAGTATGTGTGGTTTCTTTACTATGTATAAATAAAGCAATAGGGCATTTAAACGGGAGTCCTAGGTCTTTTACCTGTGACCTTACCCGGAGTCTTCCGCAATGCCAAGATTGCTACGGACATAATATCTATCCCATCGATGCTTTACATGTACTTCTCAGCTGATTCTATCTATACCGGACAATCTGCAACCGAATAACACTCTCCGCACCAGTGGAGACCCGAGCGCATGCATACCCGGCCTGGGCATCAGCACCAAGCACTAGGCTCATCTCCAACACGTTTCAGGCCATAGAGTAAGGGGATCAGACCATTTTACATATGTAGAATGGAAAAATAAGAATCCCATGTGCTTGTATACTAGTTAAGCCCATGTAGCTCTATACAGCACGTGACCGTCCCCTCACTGTGGGGGTTTTAGTCCAATTTCCCCGCTCAAACAGCCCGCAGCCTCAAATTCTTCCCCTCTCTAGTGCGCTCCCCCATTCCATCCCCAAAACCCCAAAAAAGATGGAGGACGAAAAGTCAGCCAAATCTAAAAAGAAAGGTGCTACTCACCGAAAGTCTCTGTCTTGTGAATATTGCAGTCGATCTTTTGCTCGCTTAGAGCATCTCCAACGCCATCTCCGCACCCGTTGAGTAACCCCCTCTTGCTCCCGGCTCCTTGGAATTCGTCTAATGTAGGACAACAGATACAAAGGAGAAACCCTTTTCATGTGACATTTGCTCCAAGTCATTTGCTCGGAGGTAGGCTCCTATTGCGCTTAACCCCCGGGATAGAATTCCAATTACTTATCAATATAATTTTGCAGTGACCTTCTAGTGCGACATGAGCGATTAGTCCACCCTGCCGAAAGTGCAGCCAGTCGAGAACATCGGGTTCAAAATGGTCACGAAAACAACCATGAAATACCAATCCAGTCCAACCTCATCCAACCCGCCCATCATGAGTCGCGCATGTTAGAGCTTGCAGATGCCATTCCAGTCCACACCCAAGTGCCTCCACCATCATCTGAGGTCCAGGTGCAGACCCCATCGATTATAGATACACCTCACTTTAATCCCTCATGGGGATATGATTTAAATCTTTTATCTCATGCCGCCAGCCATGTCGCTTTGGAGGGTCAACAGGAGAGCCTAGAGTCCATGAGAAAACCACCACACACAGCCGCTCCTATATCACAACCACTTCCTCAGGTCCAGGAGAGGGCAATTGCCGATAATTATGGTGTAGAGCCTTCGATTCTCGATCTCACTGATCTTGGGGACCCTGTCCAGGATTTCACGGTTTTTTTGGAAAGTGTGGGTCTGTCGTCTGACTGGGACTCCGGCGTGTTCTCATCAGTCGAGGAGCCAATGCTACCGCCGGGTATGACGATAGATTCAAAACCGCCCCGGGAGACGATATCCACACGACTTGGCGGTGATATCATGAATGACCCGCGGGGGCCCGCAGAAGACCACCCGTCCTTCTCGAATTTTGGATCCCGGCTGCCATCACTACAACCGGAGTCGCACGAAATGGACGATCGTATCGGTCTTGCCGATGAGAGTACGCGACCGGCGTGGGACATCTCTAATGCAGATCGCCAAGCGTTCATTTCGAAACTGGAAGAGTTTTCGTATGTTCTTCCGAAAGGATTTGTTCCGCCATCGCGGCATGCCCTATCTCGGTTCTTCGCCGGATATATCAATGGATTGAACGAACATCTTCCATTTATACATGTCCCTACGCTATCGGTTGCTAAAACTTCTCCTGAACTTACACTAGCGCTGGCAGCTGCTGGTTCACACTATCGGTTTGAAAACAGCCGGGGCATCGACCTTTTCCATGCAGCCAAAGCAATTTTATTAGAGCGACTCCGTCGGCGAGATAGCAAGCAGGTGCCTCAGCCGTCATGGAACTATATATCCCCACCATCTGGGTTTCATAACTCTCGTGGTTCATCGATGATTTCTAACACGGCGAGCAGCCCTTTCCAACATCATCAGCAAATGCCAAACGCACCGCTGAGCGCATCAATATACACGCTGGATGACTCAGATGCTCATATGGAGGTGATTCGGACATTTTTGCTGCTGACTGTCTTCGCGTCCTGGGAACGACACCCAGAGCTCTTGCGGGAGATTCTCTCGCTCCAGAGTACTCTGGCGAGGCTTGTGCGTGAACATGGCTTATCTGAACCACCGCCCACTCCAGACCCTATCAGCTGGGAGGAGTGGGTACGGAGAGAAGGCAACAGACGCACAAAGCTTATTGTGTACTGTTTCTTCAACCTCCACTCCATCATGTATAACATCCCTCCTTTGATTTTGAACGGGGAGTTGAAGTTAAACATGCCGTGTTCCCACGAGCTCTGGAAAGCAAGCAATGCCCCACAGTGGCGCCGCGTTCATCGCACCAGGCATGGGTCAGACGTGCCTTTCCAAGATGCTTTTGCCAGGCTCTTCCTGAAATCATCCATGTCAATTCCGTCGGCACCCATCTCCCCCCTTGGAAACTATATCCTCATCCATGCCATCATCCAACAGATTTTCTTTGCTCGACAGCTCTGTCTGTCCGCACCTCATATGCAGGGTACTAGTTTGAGACCTGATGATTTGAATATACTGGACAATTCACTGAGTGCGTGGAAGGCTTTATGGAAGCGCACACCCGAATCCAGCATCGATCCCCAGAATCCGGCCGGTCCAATTGCATTCACATCCACAGCCCTGTTGGGGCTCGCCTACATCCGTTTACATGTTGACTTGGGTCCCTGCCGTCACCTCATCACACAAGATCCAGCCCAAATTGCAGCAGCTCTGACTGAGTCCCCTGCCATCGCACGTAGCCCACGGCTGATTATGGCGCTGCTTCACTCAGCCCATGCTCTTTCAATCCCGGTACGACTGGGCATTGACTTTGTGGCAAGGACACATTCGTTTTTCTGGAGCATTCAGCATTCGCTCTGCAGTTTGGAATGCGCTTTCCTTCTCAGTCGCTGGCTGCTTGCCATTCCTGCAACGCAGTCTGAGCAGAGATTGTCGGAGCATGAGCGGAAGTTGCTATTGTGGATCAAGAGCATGATGGATGAAACCGAAATGGCTGTTGATCCCCCTGGTGCACCGGATATGGAGTTCATGGCGAATCCTTACAAGGTGCGGCAGCTTAGCGTTGCGATTGTCCGTGTATGGGCGCGGACTTTCAAGGGCAATACTAGCTGGGCGATTGTTGATTTGGTCGGCTCAAGCTTGGATGCGTATGCGGATCTTCTGGAATTCTAATTTGAGGGTTTTGGGGGTCTGTCATTTGGGAAGTTGGTCTTCGTTCTATTGAGTGAAGAACCTACAGGTGCGGCGAATGTCGGTGTGCCACCATGGCGCACGGGGATTGGGCTTGACACTTGGCCCACACAATTTTGATGCAAAGATGCAAGTAACGTCTCTGCCAAGAAAAAAAAATCAACGGCATCTCTGGGATGGCCACACTAATGATTCTGTGTTTTCTTTTTTGGATGTTGTCTCAGGGAGTTTTTGTATATGGGGGACTGGGACACGAGGTTATTTGCGTTCAATGTTTGTTTGATCTATATGTATTATGACTTCGTCACTTGCTTGGTGCTGTCTATACCCTACTGGTGTTTGTTGTGGACAATAGCAACTTCTTATCTTGTTTCATTTGGTCCTCCTTTTGTTTCTATTAGAACTTGCATATAGTGATGATCTCAAAAGTAACTCTGTTTTCCATTCTTGAGCTTCTTCTTTTTACCTATTCAAGTTTGAGTGGTACAACATGGATGGGAATGGCCCCTACATAGACAAAAAAAGGACAGCGTAAGTATAATCGTCTCTATTTATCCATTTTGGTCATTATATTGTCTCTCGTATGAAGGGTTGCGTTTTGATATTCAAATGAGCACAACGTTTATATCGAAGATTATTTGCCAGGCACCTTGTTACGATTTCTAGTGACGCTTGCAGGCACGAACTTCAAAGCAGACATGGATTTTTCCAGCTCGTCAATGTCCATGTCATTGGGTGATTTCTTCTCAGGGATTGCTGTTGCCGGTGGGTTCGATTGAGACGCCGAGCTTCGGCGCCGCAACCTGCCCTCCAGAGCAGATGACGTTGAGACGCGTCGTCGCTGGCTGTTCATGGGTCGCAGCATAGATGTTTGTGCATCGATACCATCATTGACAATGTAAAAGTTGTAACTCTGTAGGATGTGTTAGTGACGTAAGGGCGCTATTTGGAGCTGGAACCATACCCGGGGAAACATGTGCTTGTCGATAAGATGCAGTCGTCGTTTCTGTGGGGTTGAGCATTTTCGCTCACAATCTTCGATGAAACATCCGTACTTTTGCTTTTCTTTAGTAAAGTGTGTATAAAACCAATTGATAGGAAGCGGGCTCGGACTTACAGTCTTGTCTCCACGGGCTCGCCGCGCAGCAGCTAGCGGGTCATGGTTCTCCTCGATGTGTATGTTGAGCAAATGACCAGTGGGGAAGTTCTTGCTGCATTCTGAACAGCGGTTGACATGAGACTGAAGATAATGGACCTCATAATCTTCGTAGGATGTGAATGAGAGTGTCTCGCGGTGAGGCGGTAAGGAGCAATGCATCACTTCGGGGAGGATGTTGGTACCACTGTCGATGAGCTTGTTGCGCTCAGGAGGAGGAGTCGTAGTATTTACTGCGATTGATGATACTGATATTGTGTCATGATCGAGAGATGAAGATCTCGAGCGACTTCGGGGTCGTTTAGACATGGTCTAATTCACCTTGCATATAGTTAATTGATAGGTCACCTTGAGAGAGTACAAGAGGACGGAGGAGGACAGCGACCATGCGAGACTTAATTCCTTCCACTCTCCGCCTTCTCGGTATAGAATACATAAGGAGGCTTTATATGTTTATAATTTTTTTGGGGGAGTCGGAAGACGGTGGATTTCCAAGGTTAGCGGTTAGCTATCCATACATGTAGGCTCATACTGTACCTAGGTAGGCTTCAAACAAATGCTGTAATGCTTAACAACGTTTCTTTTACTTTCCATTCAGGTTATTAGATATCTTTTTCGGTCTCTTTAGATGTCACTCACGTTAGGGTTCCGGGCAACCTCAACGGTGTATGTAGCAGCACTATCAACATGTACAAAAGGTTCACCAAATCTGAACTTTTTATAACTTTGAAAGAATTTCTAATTAAACCAACCTTGGAGGTTAGTCCGAAAACATCGATAGACGGCAATAATACACTGTTAAGGCTATATCCTTCCATATGAGGGGTGGTCGCCCGCGCGGTCTATAATCCTCCAAGGTTCTTTTTATTGGAACGCTCGGCGTATTTATCTTCACCTTCACCTTCTTTTAACTTACGCATGTGTTGTCAACTGGTCCCTTTGTGAGCTGTTGATTTTGAAATAAATCCTGTAATCCACATACAGGACACGATACCTCCCGCCTTGGCAACACCAATCATCGCGGATAGTAGACCGGAACCGCATTTATGCATTTTCATACTCTCGGCTCTCATCCCCATCAGCGTGCGCTTCCATGTCTTTCACATACTGATGGCTCCTCCGCCGCTCATACTCCAAGCCATAGCCATCTGACCGGCGAGGTTGACGCTCGGGATCCCCGGGCTAACTTCCTGATGGCGCCCTCGTTCACGGATGCCTGGAAGTTAGTGCTTCCCCTCGATTTCGGCTGGATTGTGAACATTGACCAGTGGTGTGATACAGGACTGCTATAGAAGCTGAGAAGGAGCTTCTGCAATGCTTCTCGCAAGAACGGCGCACATTCGATGAATTCGAACATTTTCTCTCCGAGTGAGTGACGAGCCCCGCGCGCACGCCGAATCAAGGCTAACATCTTTGCACATAGATTCCGGACCTCTTCTCAAAATGCAATCCTCCTCGACTTCAATGCTGCTCGCGGGGTCGATGCGGAGAGTCGTCTTTGGGATGCGCACTTGAAAGTGAACAATCGGTTTCGCAAGCAGTTGCTTCGCGTGAGTACCCCACTGAAGTTTTTCGTAAGGGTGGATTCACTAACTGTGTCTATGTGTCAACTAGTTTCGCGAAGAACACGGCAAGAAGAAACCAGTTGAAAGGCGGAAACTCGAACGCCATTACCTCGATTTCATTAAGTCAAGCCAGCGGTTTTACCGAGGATACATCCAGCATTTATCATCGCGCTTTGGGGGGATTGTTGAGTTGGAGAGAGTTGCGCGCAAGTTCAATTTTGAAAGTAAGGCAGACACACAAGCCGCGTGCCCGCTTTCTAGACAAGCTGACCCGCGGTTGTTTCTAGATCTTTCCGGCCAACCTCCTATTAAGCCCTCTAATGATCTGCGCAAGCTTATTCTCCAGTCATGCCACGCAACCCTTATCCGGCTGGGAGATCTTTCCCGTTATCGTGAATCGGAGCTCGTCAGCAAGGATCGCAACTGGGGCCCTGCCATCGGTTATTATGACCTGGCGTCGGTGATCAACCCTGCATCGGGTGCATCTCAGAATCAATTGGCAATCATCGCTCTCGCGGATGGAAATCATCTTCGTGCTACCTACCATCTCTACAGAGCACTTTCAGCTCAAGAACCTCATCCAACTGCGAAGGGCAATCTGGAGATTGAACTCCGAAAAATCATGAGCGCCTGGGCTAAACGAGAGCTGATCCGCCCCGAAGATGCTGGTATCCCTGGAAGGGCCTTGACTCCGTGGTTTCTCTATCTGCACGCCAAATGTTATAAGGGAACTGACTTCCCAGAGCACGATGAGTTAGAGAGTGAAGTTCTTAGTCAACTAGCAGTTGAAATTAGAGAACGGTCACTAGAAGGGACACTTCAAAAATTCTGTCTCATTAATATTGCAGCCGAGGATTTTGCTAAGGTCCGGTCCATTGGTAAGATTTCGAAACAATATCATTGCTCATGCATCTGCTTACCTATTCCTTAGAGGAGTCTGTCTTGGAAGCACGCGTCTTTTTCCAACGCATCAATGTAAAGACATTTTTCACCTTACTGCAAATACTTCTGGTCGAACTAGAACGGACTGCTTCTTTTGAAGATCCCAACAGCAAAGACGCAATGCCTATCCCAGACAAGGTGTCTGTGGTTGCTCGCCGGATCCTGCCCGCGCTTCGCCATTACAGCTCCTGGCTACTTACAAATAGCCAGTCTCTGGTTGAGCAGAAAGAGGAAAAGGATTCGGCGCTCTCGATTCAAATCAAAGAGTTCTGGAAGATTTATGCCGGTACGCTGAGCTTGCTCGCATCCTCGTTCGATGTAGTCAGCCTTCCCGAGGTCGATTATCTATTGGAAGAAGACGAAGAAAGTCTTGGATTTGCACCTCTGGATCAGGATGCTACTTCTCGTCGATACGTTGGAGGTGGTGATCGGCCAAAGCCCCGGATGCACGATCTTGGGATTGAAAGAAGTCACCCCAACATGGAAATGCTCTATCGGATTCGTGAATTCGTGATTGATGGACTCGATTTGGTTGTGAGAGGAGTACGTGGAAAACTATTAAGATACCATAAACAAACAAGCAGATTGCTAACCTCCTATAGAAAATCCCGGTAGCTCTTGTGGATAGTGAAGATAAGAAGACCTTTATCTACCAGGAAGAGGATCTGCCTCCGCAATTCTATTCCAGCCCTCATGGCCGCCAGCATGCACTTTCGGCTGCGAGCATCGAGCGCGAAGATATCCCACAGGCCGTTCAACATCCATACTCTGGCACAGAAGCCCAAAGCCTGTTCGGCGGTTCCCAGTCTGCATCGGCCTCTATGTCCGCCAACATGCATCAAATCGTTGAGGGTGTTGAGCGACTTGTTGACTCGGACACGTATGAAGCCCCGCCCAATGACCAATTTGCTTTCATGAGTTCGGGGGAGATATCGACACCTACGCATGTCTCACCCAATGTCAACGCTTATCCGTTCCGTGAGGAAAACTCCCCACCACTCAGCACCCCAATCGCCCCTCCACCTGGGCTTGGTCCACCAGTCATGAATGCAGCTGAGCCTCTCAGAGTGCCATCGGCTCAGTCATATACCCCACGGCCTGCCATCCCCAGCCTCCCCAGCATTTGGACACCGCTGAGAGACACCGCCCCTCCACGAACACCCCCTGGCCTTGGCCCACAACCTGGCCAGCGAGCTCCATTGCACCCCATGGCTGCTGGGAATGCCATGCCCTCTGAGCGCTCACCATCGCAAGATCAGCTAGCAAATGAGCTCATGCTCCGACAGCACCTGATGGCCCAAACCCAGTTTTCAAACTCG